GAGCAGGAAGGATCAATCTAATCATGGGAACAGAAGATCGTCGCTGTGACCAAGATTGGGTGTATTCTTTAGTGCTTAGGAATAGTTTAGTTTTAGATTTGAACAATTGTTGCTATTCGCCAGAAATGGCTAGAAACATCATTTCATTTCATGGTTTATATAGACAAGGATTTAGATTTTTTTTAATAATGAGAATGGTTCTATTTTGGCTTATCTAAATGGTGTCTTTTACTTTGAAGCTATACCATGTAATGGAATATATGAAACTGTTATGATTGTTGATAACTTAGGAAATGATGTTTTGAATATTGATTCTTCCACTAGTATGGATAAAGCATCCTTGTGGCATTGTCGTCTTGGACATGTCAACAAGAAACGCATAGCACAACTCCAAAAGGATGGAGTGTTGGAGTCATTCGACCTTAGGGAAGATGACACATGCGAGTCTTGTTTACTTGGAAAGATGACTAAGTCACCCTTCACGAGTACTTGTGAAAGGGGTGAGGGGCTATTGGACCTAATACATACCGATGTATGTGGACCCTTTAGATCAACCACGAAGGATGGGAACCGCTTCTATGTGACTTTACCGATGATATAGTAGATATGGGTATATCTACTTTAATCAAGCAAAAGTCAGACACCTTTGAAAAGTTCAAAGAGTTCAAGAATGAAGTGGAGAATCAATTGGGCAGGAAAATCAAGATGCTTCGATCCGATCGAGGAGGAGAGTACCTAAGTCTTGAATTCCACGATTATCTCAAAGTGTGGAATAGTTTCGCAATTGACGCCTCCTAGGACACCGCAGTTGAATGGTGTGGTGCAGGCGTAATCGAACCTTATTGGATATGGTTCGCTCTATGATGAGTCGTGCTTCACTACCTATCTTCTTTTGGGGGTATGCCTTAGAGACTGCCGCCCATATCCTTAACCGAGTCCCTACTAAGAAGGTTGCCAAAACACCTCACGAGATGTGGACAGGGAAAGCTCCCTCGTTGGCACATATCAAGGTTTGGGGTTGCGAGGCTTTCGTAAGACGAGATACTCACGACAAGCTTGAACCTCGAAGTGAGCGATGTATTTTCATCGGCTACCCGCAAACATCCTTTGGATATCTCTTCTATAGACCGAAAGACAATGTTGTCTTTGTTGCGAGGAGAGGAGTTTTCCGAGAGCGAGAACTCATAAGCCAAGGAGACAGTGGGAGGCAAATCGAACTTGAAGAGATTCAAGAGTCGATAGATGAAGGAACCTCTACCGCTGGCATTCAACCCGAGGAGGAAACTCCGGTTGAACCGATTGACGAATCCTTACCTCTTAGACGTTCCGATAGAGTTAGAGTTCATCCCCAGTTTTATGGTTTTCATATTACTACCGAAGGGGACACGTATATTAGTGATGGTACACTAGTAAATCTTGATGAACCTAATAGCTATAAGGAAGCCATGGCAGGCCCGGAGTCTGCGAAATGGAAAGAGGCAATGGATAGCGAGATCCAATCCATGTACGATAACCAAGTTTGGAATTTGGTTGATTATGTGCCCGAACGTAAGACCGTTGGGTGCAAATGGATCTTCAAGAAGAAGACCGACGTGGATGGGAACGTACACACATATAAGCGCGATTGGTCGCGAAGGGCTTTACTCAAACTCCGGAGTTGACTATGATGAGACCTTCTCACCAGTTGCGAAGATTAAATCTATTAGAGTGATGCTAGCAATTGCCGCATTTCATGATTATGAGATTTGGCAAATGGATGTCAAGACCGCTTTCCTTAACGGAAAGTTGGCTGAGGATGTTTACATGGCTCAGCCAGAGGGGTTTGTGGATCCGAAGCATCCGAATAGAGTGTGTAAGCTTGAGAAGTCCATTTATGGACTTAAGCAAGCGTCTCGCAGATGGAATCTTTGCTTCGATGAGAAAGTCAAAGAGTTTGGATTTGTACGAAGCGAAGACGAATCTTGTGTATATGTCAAAGCCAGTGGGAGTATAGTAAGCTTTCTCGTTCTATGTTGATGACATATTACTCATAGGAAACGACATCCCGACTCTGCAGGAAGTCAAGTCCTGGCTCGGGAAGTGTTTCGCTATGAAGGACCTCGAAGAGGCTTCTTACATTTTGGGAATAAGGATAGTAAGAGAAAGAAGTAAGAGACTAATTGGACTTAGTCAGAATACTTACTTAGAGAAGGTACTAAAACGTTTTAGTATGGAAAACTCAAAGAAGGGAGAATTACCGATACAAGGAAATGCCAAGTTGAGTAAGACTCAAAGTCCGAGTACCGAAGTTGAAATAGCAGAAATGAGCCGAATACCATATGCTTCCGCAGTTGGCTCAATCATGTACGCTATGACTTGTACTCGCCCTGATGTAGCCTTCGCTTTGAGCATGGTTAGCAGATATCAAGGGAACCCTGGCAAAGCACATTGGATTGCGGTGAAGAACATCCTTAAGTACCTTCGGAGGACGAAATATTGGTTCTTAGTCCTTGGAGGGAGTGATGACTTGAAGGTGCAAGGGTATAGTGACGCCAGCTTTCAGACCGACAGGGAAAACTATCGTTCGCAGTCGGGCTGGGTCTTTACCCTAAATGGAGGAGCAGTGACATGGAAAAGTTCCAAGCAGGAAACCGTAGCTGATTCAACGTGCGAATCAGAGTACATCGCAGCGAGCGAAGCGTCGAAGGAGGCAATATGGCTAAAGAACTTCATTGGTGATCTTGGAGTTGTGCCAGCCATAAAGGAGCCCATGGAGATTTTCTGTGATAACGAAGGTGCGGTTGCCTTGACTAAGGAACCGAGGGATCATGGTAGATCTCGACATATCGACAGAAAATATCACTTCATTAGACATCGTGTAGAAGAAGGACAACTCGTAGTGAAGAGGATATCATCAGAAGATAACCCAGCAGATCCACTTACGAAGGGACTGAGTAGGGTTAAGCACTTGCAGCATGCTAGGAGTATTGGGCTGAAGGATGATATTAGTATAGATTAGATAGTATTAGAAACGTATAATAGATAAATGTAATTAACATTTGATGATTAAATAAAGGAGTTTTATTTATAAGTAAAGTTACTGTCATATGTTAATTGTTTAACTATTTTTCACTTTGCATTTTGACTTCCAGAATAATTGAGTTTATTAGGAATAATCGAATTATTCAAATGGTCCACAATCGTTCATATGTTGGGAGTAGATATGAATGAAGATTGTCATGAATTGGTGTGTAGAATGTCTAAATGGTGTTAGACATAGCAAGGGTTGCTGCAACGTTCATGAGTGCTTATGAACTGGTTTTGAGCATTGGAACAAACCCGCGCTTGCTGGAATCACTTTATGGAATATGATATAAAAGGTGATCGCAAGACGATAATATCATATAGTCTTAAAACCTAGATATATGGTTTATTATTTGTTAATTGATTGTACATTGATAATGCGAAAACGCATCAGTAACTTGGTGTTATAAAACGCATTGTTGTGTATAGTTGGTTAATGAATAAGTAAATGCATATAAGTCGAAGTTTATCTGTAAATTTTATCCTAAGAGGGTAGAAGAGATATCTTGGCCACTCGATGATTTGATTTGACTTATGTGTCGGGCCCGATCAGAACTGAATTGATGTGTTTGATTAAGTTCTATGTCAAATAAATCGGAGATCGAGAAATCAAATGCTTGACTAACCATTCCATAGGATTGTCAGCATGATATCTAACAGAGGACTGTAAGATCCCTTATCTAAAGGACAAGATTAATTAGATCAGAGTTGACAGCGTCTTTGAGAGCTACGATTGCAAACCGAATTGTACTTGTATAGTTACTAGACTTATCCAAGTGGGAGACTGTTGGGATAGTGTCTAAGGCTGCAACTATATTAGGCAAGTATTTGATCCGGTTGTGCATGGTCCTTTTGGGTTGCCTTCACCATAGCAACTTGAAGGATTATTTTTTAAGAGAGAGTAAATATTATAAGGAATAATATATGGTTATTTGATTAATATAAGTCATAGATTAATTGGTATTAATTTGGTGACTTAAAGAGATTAATTAAATAAGAGGGTATAAACTGTCAATTGTTTGATAGTTACACTTTAGACTATAAATCCTTATCCTAGATAGGATGGACGATTTCTAGGGCTTGGATAAGCCAAAATCGTCCATAGGGTTATCAAGGAAAGGATATGGATCAACTTAAAGTCTAAGTTATCCAATTAGGGTTAAAGCTGTAATCCTTAAGGAGTCTACAAGTATATATAGACCCTAGGGGTGAGGGAATTCGAGTAATCACAACACACCATCTAAAGTAGAGATAGTCTGGCCGAATTCCTCCCCTCTCCTCTCTCCTAAATCATCTTGCTTGCTATTGGTGTTTGTAAGCCATTAGAGGAGTGATATTTGTGACTCTAGAAGCTCTAAGACTACAAGATCAAGAAGGAACTCAAAGGTATGATTCTAGATCTGTTTCAATGTTGTTATTTAACCTAATTAGCCATTAGAAGTCTTGGATTCAAAGCATGTTTAATTAGAAAGCCTAGATCCGAGCATTAGGGTTTTGCATGCGCACATAGGAAAGTTCTTATGGCTAAAACCCATAAGGAGTTTGGAGCAATGCTTCGGGAGAGTGCCTTCGCGGTTCGGTTCTTCGTTTCAGGTGAGTTATCCTCACTGTACTCAAGGGTCTAAGGCACCAAGGCCAGCCCTTTTATTGTTTTCTATAGCTTGTTATGTACGTGATTATATGCTTGCTAGTACCCTGGCAGATAGGGAAGTAATATGATGTTATGCTCTGTTAGCTTAGTATCCTGGAGGATAGGATAGTTGAGTATTGGCAAGTTCTGTTGGATCAGAACCCTGGTAGTTGGGTAGTTTTTATGTTTATAGACCTGTAGTTGGTCTTGTCTTATGCACACTGGTAGGAGATTACCTGTGATTTATGCATGTAGAGTAGTAGCAGAGGGTATTCCATCTCGGTAGGATGATAGGTCCCTAGTATGTGGATTTTGTAGAGTGGTATGAGGTTGCCTGTTATGTGTTCATGATTGCTAATGTAGGGGCATTCCAACCCGATGGTTGTGGGCCAAGAGTATTCCATACCGGTAGGATGATTGGACTCGTATTATGTTGTCATTCCAACCCGATGGTTGAGGGGCCTGGGGTATTCCATCCTGCGGGATGAATGGGCCCATAGTAATAGTAGTAGTTTGTATGCATAGGAAGTGGGGCATTCCAACCTGATGGTTGTGATCCAGGAGTATTCCATCCCGGTAGGATGATTGGATTCATAGTATATTGGCATTCCAACACGATGGTTGAGGGGCCTGGGGTATTCCATCTGGCAGGATGATTGGACCCATAGTAGTTATTGATGTAGGTATAGGTGTATCAGCATTCCAACCCGATGGTTGTGGGCCGAGAGTATTCCATCCGGGTAGGATGGTTGGACTCACAATATGATGGCATTCCGACCCGATGGTTGAGGGGCCTGGGGTATTCCAACCGGAAGGTTGATTGGACCCATAGTATGTTGTTCTTTGTTGTATGAGTATGTTTATGTGTGTATGGGTACTTTGGGGGAACTCACTAAGCTTTCGGGCTTACAGTGTTGGTTTATTGTTTTAGGTACTTCAGGAGATCGTGGCAAGACGAAGGCGTGATCGTACCGCTCCTCATGTTTTATGTTTTTATGATATGGTTCTGGGAATACTCTGATGTTTAAACTATTTTGAAAACGAGTTGTATTAACTTAATGGTTTTTGGATGAAACAAAATGTTTTAAATTGGTTGAAATTTTTAGACGTTACAAACCCCTTCGTTTCTTTGCACCCACCCTTGAATGTTCTATACTTCCAAACCTTTGATCAATTAATCTCTAGGTTAGGTTCTCATATGGGTTTAATCAAGATTACATGTTATGCATTTGGAAATCTTAAAGCTAATGATTTGATTCTAAATTATTTCCCAACTTTAAGTAGAGGGAGAATGAGAGTCAAAGAGTGACTAAGAAGCAAAAAGAGAGAGAGAGAGAGAGAGAGAGAGTAGGTGTGCAAACGAGCAAAGCTACTCGCGAGCTACTCGGGATCAGATCGTTAAAAGCTCGACTTAAAATCGATATTAAACGAGTCTGAGTCGAGCTCGAGCTTAATATTAAGCTTGTTTATTAAACGAGCTCGAGCTCGAGCCTATGTTAATAAGCTTGATTAGGCTCGCGAGCCAAAATGAGCCTTTATATAATATAATTTATTATTATTTATATATATTAAAATAAAAACATATTAGGAGAATTATGGATTTAGAGTATTAGTAAACGAGCTTCTTAACGAGATCGATCCAACTTAAGCTTATTTAGGCACGTCAGTTAAAAAACGAGTCGAGCACGAGCCAATGTTGTATAATTCTTTACAAGCTCGAGCCAAACTCAGTACAAGAAAGCTTGAATCGAGCCGAGCTCGAACTCGAGCCTCATATAACTTAAATGAGCCCGAACCGAGGCTGGCTAGGATCGGGCTCGGCTCGGCATGTTTGCACCCCTAAGAGAGAGAGAGAGAGAGAGAGAGAGAGAGAGAGAGAGAGAGAGAGAGAGAGAGAGACAGAGAGAGAGAGAGAGGGTATGGTGGGGTGACCTATTTTTTTTTTAAATATTCATATAATACAAAAATGTGAAAGATAAATTAAATGGAAAAAAATCATATTAAAATTTTGAGGATTAAAACCATAAAAGTTTCAAATTTTGAACCATGAATGCAGTTTTTACAAATGGGCAAATTTTGTAATTCCATAAAATAAAAAACAATAATAAAGTGGGTTAAGTAGGGAATTAAGGAAATAAACCGTATAGGGCTCTTTTGGGCGGGAAGAAAGCCATGCAACGGTACAGGGATGTCGCGTTAATCCGTTAAAGTCGGCTGTAGGTGTGTGCACTTTTATAAAAAAAAGTAAAAATAAAAATAAAAATAAAAAACCATGGGAATTTCTGTTGCGCTATTTTTTTTATCACCAAAACTCCTAAGGATTTCATCAAAGAGTAGTCAAAGCGACAAATCAATGGAATAGAGGCATCATGGTCCTTCGACGTTCTCGCCCTAGAAATTCAGAATCCTAATTCAATGATCGAGAAAGGAACCATTTTGCAGATTTTGATCCAGAATGCTTTGATTGGTTACACAGATTGAATTAAGGCATTGAAATTAGAGGTATGGTTCCTTAAATTAATGATTTTATGAATTAAGTTAGGTTTTGTACTCAGCCCGTGTATATGGAGAAATTCATATATCTTCAGGCTAGTTACCGAAATTAACAACAGATATAATTAATTAAAACTAGTGGTAATTTCATTGGATACCGAAATTAACAACAGATATACTTAGGGCTTTCAGTTAGAAGCTAGGTAGGACATGTAGATTACTTGAGTTGAATCATGGGTCTTATCACCGGTTGAACCTGCCTTCGCCTTAGGCAAAATCAAAATCGGATATTTTGCAATGAATTCATGCAAGGTCATAGCAATTGAGTGTTGGGTAAATCTTAAAATCTGGAAAATTAGTTATGCAATTATTATAGGCTATGATCAATGTTGTTGTACCTCATCAAGTAGGATATTAGAAGCTTGAAATCACAATATATAACTTGTTCCTCACCATCTTGAAGGAAAGCTAGACATCTCTTTTTTGGTCATTTTAATGTGTAAGATTATATAAATGATTAAAGATAAAGTTTTATATGTAAGTAAACAAATAGGCCAAAATATAAGCATGTCTTTTCGATTCATTTTTCATATATTAGGAGTTTTTGCTAAAACAACACTCCAAAAAGTATGTATCAGCTTACACCGTTTTGCTACCGCAAAAGCTATAATATGAACATTTTTTCTCAAATTATGTTTTTCTACTATATATAAGCTAATTAATAAGCACTTTTAAAGTGGTTTTTGTGCATGGCAAGTTGTTTACCAAACCCTAACCCAATTTAATTTGCATAAACACAGACACACGAGTCGTTCGTTCTTCATTCTCTCCCAAATGAACCACCATTCATTAATGGAAATGCCCGTTGTTGATGCCGTGTACAGTGCAGAAATTCGAAAAGCTCGTCGAGACTTACATCATCTGATCTCTAGCAAAAGTTGTGCCCCGATCATGCTCCGTTTAGCGTAAGATCCTTCTTGTTTATCTATAACATATTGTGATGATCAAATTGAAAATGATATGATTGTACGTAGATTTCATGATGCTGCAACTTATTGCAAGGAGACGCAGACGGGAGGTCCAAATGGCTCCATTAGGAAGCCGGAAGAGTTTGAACAAAGCGTTAACAAAGGACTGAAAACTGCCATTGACTTTTGCGGTAAACTGCTTGTGTTGTTCTGTATTGTCGCAACATTCTTATTTACATAGTTAACTTTCCTTCACAAAAGTAATATAATAAGTTTATTGATGGTACATTACATTGCAGAACAAATAAAGTTAAAGCATCCAATAATTTCATATGCTGACATTTATCAGGTTATTTCAATCATATTTAGCACAGAGACTAATGCTTTTTGGTTCTTTTAAATTTATATTATGTACTTATCGATAAGCAAGCGGTCTATTGGCAGCTTGCGGGTGTCGTTGCTGTTGAGGTCGCCGGTGGTCCTACCATTGAATTTATTCCTGGTAGAAAGGTACTTTGATTTTCCATGTAATTGATATTAGCTTTTTGTTCACATGTCTTATCTTCGGAATATAATTTTACACCTTGGATATATATATATATATATATATATATATATATATATATATATATATATATATATATATATATATATATATATATAATACACTTTACAGTCTCACCTAAGCTTAGGTACTAAACTTCTAAAATATATCATCTCCATAACATTGCTAAATATATCGTTTTAACTTGCTAAATATACCCGGTTTGGTTTCACTTGGTAAATATATCATCCTCCATAACATTTCTTTCTTTCATTATCGTTTTACCATTTCTGTTTTCTTTCCTCCATTATCGTTTATTAATTCACCCAAGTGAACATTACTAAACCCTAAACCCTAAACACTGAACCTAAACCCTAAACCCTAAACCTTAAACCTAAATCCTAAACCCTAAACCCTAAACCTAAACCCTAAACCCTGAACCCTAAAACCCTAAACCCTATTGTGTCGATCTTGAATTTACATCTTAAAGTATTAATCGTGAATCCATTAACCGTAATCTTTATATAGTAAAACAATGTATTTTGAAGAGGTTTAGTACCTAAGCTTAGGTGGGGCTGTAATGTATATCCCCCTTTTCCCTATATATATATATATATATATATATATATATATATATATATATATATATATATATATATATATATATATATATAAGAGAGAGAGAGAGAGAGAGAGAGAGAGAGAGACTCTGATAGGAACTGATTAATTTAAATAGCTGAATGCTTACGACTTAGATTAACAGGGCCAAATTCGAGATGGCAAATCTCCTTGATTACAAGAACACAAATAACTTATTATCTGACTCACAACTGAAAAACATCAACTACATGTTTGTTACAAAAGATAACTGCTCCTAACTTATTGGATCATAATAGTTCCTTCTCTTTTAACTGTTACATGGTTGGCCTAAAGGATCCAACTGATTTCCAAAAAGGGCATTAAACTGCTCTTGCTCCTGTCTCTTAACTCATGACTTCTTTCTTATATACACTTGTAGGTTCTTTTCATTACTTCTCCATCGGTAAAATGACTTCTCCTCAAGTTAAAAATAAGGAAATTGCTCAACAAACAGATCGTAAGATTCCCAAGAAGCTTCTTCCATAGGACGGTTATTCCTAGAAACCACTAATTTGAGTACAGGTTGGCCTGCTTCATGCACCCATCGAACTCAAACTCCCAATCCTTTGTGATAGGCAAAGGAGCAATAGAGGTTGGAGAAAAAGACCCTGGAACTGGTTTGAGCATAGAAACATGAAACACAGGATGTATTTTCGCATCCGGAGGTAATTCGAGCTTATAAGCCACTGGCCCAATGACACTTTTATTCGGATAAGGACCAAAGAATCAAAGAGATAACTTTTCAAAACAACGTTTAGCTAAGTTGTGTTGTCAGTAAGGTTGAATCTTTAAGAATGCATAATCCCAAACCTGAAAATTAACTTCGCGTCGTTTGGTATTGGCTTGATTACGTATCCTATCTTGAGCTTTCGTAAGGTTGAGACGTAACAATTGCAACATATGATCGCGATTAACTAATTGTTGTTCCAATTATGCATTTTTGGTTTCGCCCGTTACATAAGGCAGAAGGAGAGGAGGATCTCGACCATACATGTGACAGCCCGAAATTTCTACCTGTACAAACCATTCACTTCAATCAAAGTCAGACTAGTTTCTGCTAACTTTTAGCACTGTTTAGAGTCTATTTGAATGTTTTAAACATAGTACATTCAAGAAACAAGCATCGGGAAGTATCTTCTAGGGTTCAATGTGCAAAAAACAAAACCCTAAACCTAAGATGTGTGTTTATGGCCAAACTTTATGAGTTTGGGCCGTAAACTCTCTTTTGGCCGTGAACTCATGCATAAAGCATGAGTTTGCATCCTTTTCTTCATTATTTCCATTTTCAAGTTCAAGAACCTCCATTTCTCTCTCAAGTATCATCAATTTCTTCATCTTGATCTTCCAAAAATGTAAGATTTCTTTCCTTTGATTTGTTGTTATATCACCTTATCTAGTAAAGATCATGTCACACCCCAAAACCGAGAACGACATAAACGTTTTTTGGGCGGAGGACGTCATGTAATGTATCACAACAATGAAAAATAGTAGTAAACAAACGACAACATCATCCATTGCATTAATAGTATAATTGTAATTACAAGTGTGTTCTTTCAAAGTATAAAACAACATAATGAATACTCGAAATAAAAGACGAATCTTGACCTCTCCGTCTTCATAAAACCTGGTCGTCGTTACTATCTATTTGTGACCTGAGAATACAAGTTATTTTGAAATCGAGTATCAGCAATAAAGCTGGTGAATTCATAAGTAATTTAGTGTCATTGATTTGTAAAACTTGTAATGAAAGACTTGTAATTGTTTTGAAGAAAAGTTTGTATAAGTATGAAAATTTTTGTAAGTAATTGTAAACGTTTGAAAACCCTAGAAAATCCCACATTTCCTACTAGTATAAAATGTAGTCTTCTACCAAGACCAGACTGTTTTGAAGGTTTAAACCTCTACATAAGTGAAGGTTTTTCCCTTGTACAACTATTATTATTCATCTAATCTACCTCATCGATTATGTGAATGTGTCACACAATAAAGGTAATAAGGAAAATAATATAATCATTTAAGTATTATCCTTTGGTCCTAGGATAATCATGGCAGAGTAACTTGTCGAATACTGTTTACCGTAGACATGCGTCGATGTACGTCTTCCCTACTGTAGCTAACAACCCTGGGGGTGGAATGGTAAGTCCTATAATGTATGTAATAGTATCTACTCATATAACATGTAATAGTATCTCATTACGTAGTATGTAATCGTATCTCTTTACTAGTATCTATGTAATAGTATCTCTTCATATAGTATGTAATGTATTCGTATAGACTCATTAATGAACTGACTCTTGTCTGATTCCTTGTACTTCAGTTAGTAAGTAGTATTTCCTAACTACGCCTATTATAGTTACTAGTAATGTACGTGTGTAACCGTAAGTGTACCTTTGCTACCCAAAGGTACTGGACTGATTGATAGAACATTTACGTCTATATATGTATACATGATATATAACTAATATTTAGATGACATCCCCGACGAATAACTGATACCATAAGACCACATCTAAACGAGGAAAAGGAGATAAAGCGACCTAGCCGTTCTAAGTGCTTTAAAAATGACTTATATAACTATACATATATAGGCATGCATTTGACAATATAAAAGTATAAAAGAAGTTTGGTAAAATCTTGGAAAAGTTTAATAACTAAGAAATAATGACTTGATGTCAGTTTATAAAATGATTTGAAAGTAGTTTGCCTGATAAAACAGTTTTAAGTATAGTAAAAACCTTTGTTTGAAACACAATAGTAACAGAGTTTGAAATGAAACATACAGTAAGTAAGATAGTTTGATAAGGAGCTTTAACATGTAAAAACGTTTGAGAAAGTCATTTGAAGTAATATGTTTGCTAAAACAGCTAAAATTTTAGTAAATCCATTTGCATGCTAGTTATTAATCACATGTGATTGATATAATAACTATCATGATTTAACTTGTATCCCCCACCTCCCCCCCCCCCCATAAAAGCATTTATAAACATTTAAGAATATTTAAAAGGTTAATTAAGGGGTATGAACTGACCTGCAGTGAGTGGATCGTATGGAAGTGTCAGACAAGTGCTTGGTGTTAAGTGAAGACTTAGACACCCACAATGATCCTAATAACATATAAAGACATATGTGTATATATATATATATATATATATATATATATATATATATATATATATATTTAATTTGTGATTATAACACTAATTAGAAAAGTAAAAACATCCTAATGCATGGAAAACAATTTGGTCAAGTGCTAGGAGGCCATTGGGTTGAAACAAGGGATTGCAAAGCATCGTGTTTGAGTTTATGGTCCATGGACCATACTTGTTGGAGTTTACGGCCCATGGGAGTTTACTCCTTGTCGTAAACTCTCAAATGGGTCTCCAAATGAGGCTTATAGCTATCATGTCTTAAGTGGTTAGGTGCTCCAAGGCTTAAACAAGAGGCTAGGTGGGTTTAAGGTCCAAGAATGACCTTATATTGAGTTTACGGCCTGGGGACCACTTCCCCATGAGTTTATGACCGTAAAGTCATGGTATGAAGTACCATTTCGTGTCTTGAAGTCCATAGTTCAATGGTGTAAGGTTCTATACTAAGTTTCAAGGCTTGGTAAGGTGTTAGGGTGCATTTTACCCCACTTAAAGGGGTATACGACCCAAGAACATGTCTTGGCCGTAAACTCCTTGGATCACATGATTCTTTGTGATTTCAAAGCCCTAAACATGTGAAACCTAGTGTACAATGACTTAGAACAAGAGTACTTATGATCTAGGAGCTTGATGGTTGTTTTTGGCCAAAAACACTAGTGTGTGTTCTTGGTGTTCTTGGTGAAACTTGAAGATCTACAAAATGGAATGATTTCATGGATGAAATCATGTAAGATCACTAGTTCATGTAAGATATCAACTAGTTATTACAAGAAACTTACGAGTTTTGAAGATCGGGGTCGAAGATCGGGAGGATACTTGAGAGGATTTCAGCCAAGGGAAAGAAGGAAATGAACTAATGGCTTAACATTCATCATATATGAGGAGTTTACGACCCTTATGGAGTTTACGGCCGTAAACTCCATTGAGGTGGCCGTGAACTCCTTGACATGTTGTTTAAGGCTTGTTCTTTGAGCAATAACTTCAGCAGATAAACCCCGACACTTATCCCTTAAGTGTACAAGGCTCAGAACGCTCAAATAAACTCCTAGTTGTGCTAAAAGGTGACATAATAGAGTTTGACTTTCAATGAAGTGTTTGACTGTACTTGATAGAAAATTTCGGGTTGTCACATCATCCCCCCCCCCCCCCCCGGTTAGAGGGAATTTCGTCCCGAAATTAGA